GCCAGGCAGCTCTCCAGCCACTCCTCCCCACGCCTGCAGCGGTGCCTGGGGTTGTTGTGCCCCAAGTGCAGGACCCGGCACTGAGCCTTGTTGAATCTCACGCAGTTGGCCTTAGCCCATCGCTCCAGCCTGTCCAGGTCCCTCTGCAGGGCCTTCCTACCCTCCAGCAGATCGACACTCCCACCCAGATGGGTGTCACCTGCAAACTTACTGAGGCTGCACTCGATCCCCTCATCCAGATCATTGATAAAGATATTGAACAGAACTGGCTTAAATACTGAGCCCTGGGGAACAGCACTTGTGACCAGCCGCCAACTGGATTTGACTCCATTCACCACCACTCTTTGGGCCCAGCCATCCAGCCAGTTTTTTACCCAGCAAAAATCATCTATCCCTGAAATTTCATCTATCCCCCAAATTTCTAAGCATTAAGTGATAACATTAAAGCGATAATACTGCTACCCATTTAAATGTCTAGAGCTTTACTTAGTATGACTAAAGACGATCAGTTTTCTAATGTATTCCAGCCCCTCTCCTTCTGTTTGACATTTACCGTCAGCAAAAAATCCAGCGCACCTTTCGCCTAGCAAAAACAATCAGTAAAAACTTTCAAAGGCACACCCTGCACTGGGTAATTAACGCAGGCCCTTTCTCACACTAAGGCAGCATTCACCTTGATAAAGCACCAAAATACACGCTACGTCCCTGTGTGCCTGTATGTACTGGACGGGCAGAGACGCTTTGCAAGCAGCTTTACCTCCACGCCTGTCTCCGGACGCCACGGGTGCGGACAAGGTGCATTAAGGGCTGACAAGTGCAAAGAGCAGAGTCTGGTGCCCCCGCACAGCCCCTGAACCTCCTGGGTATGAGTGATGGCCTGGGGGCAACCTTTAGCCCCCCAGCCTACCTGGGTGCCAACTCCAAACCTGGCACAGAGAGAGCTGCTGTGGGGGGGAAGCGGTTCCCTCTCTTTCCCGCCCAACGCCCGCCTCGTCCTGCGGCGTGACAGGGCCTGACAGGCCCGCGCTGCCTCCCCC